AAATAAATAGGGAGAGAGTGGGAGGCGGATAGAAGATGGATAGAGGAGAGGATAGGTGGAGAGGAAACAAACAGGTCGAAGGGGCGGGGATGGGGCCAGTAAAAGTGAGTGTAGGTGGGGAGTTAGGAAGGGGATAGGTCAGTCCAGGGAGGACGGACAGGTCAAGGGGGCGGGATGAGGTTAGTCGGTAGGAGATGGAGGTGTGGCTTGAGGTGGGAGGAGGGGATAGGTGGGAGGAAGAACAGGTTAGGGAGGCAGGGACGAGCTGGACTGGTTTTGGGATGCGGTAGGGGGAGGGGAGATTTTGAAACTTGTGAAATCCACATTGATACCATTGGGCTGCAGGGTTCCCAAGCGGAATATGAGTTGCTGTTCCTGCAACCTTTGGGTGGCATCGTTGTGGCACTGCAGGAGGCCCAGGATGGACATGTCGTCTGAGGAATGGGAGGGGCAGTTGAAATGGTTCGCGACTGGGAGGTGCAGTTGTTTATTGCGAACCGAGCGTAGGTGTTCTGCAAAGCGGTCTCCGAGCCTCCGCTTGGTTTCCCCGATGTAGAGGAAGCCACACCGGGTACAGCGGATGCAGTATACCACATTGGCAGATGTGCAGGTGAACATCTGCTTGATGTGGAAAGTCTTCTTGGGGCCTGGGATGGGGATGAGGGAGGAGGTATGGGGGCAGGTGTAGCAATCTCCCCTCCCCCTACCGCATCCCAAAACCAGTCCAGCTCGTCCCTGCCTCCCTAACCTGTTCTTCCTCTCACCTATCCCCTCCTCCCACCTCAAGCCGCACCTCCATCTCCTACCGACTAACCTCATCCCGCCCCCTTGACCTGTCCGTCCTCCCTGGACTGACCTATCCCCTTCCTAACTCCCCACCTACACTCACCTTTACTGGCCCCATCCCCGCCTCTTCGACCTGTTTGTTTCCTCTCCACCTATCCTCTCCTCTATCCATCTTCTATCCGCCTCCCACTCTTTCCCTATTTATTTCAGAACCCCCTTCCCCTCCCCCTTTTCTGATGAAGGGTCTAGGCCCGAAACGTCAGCCTCTCTGCTCCTATGATGCTGCTTGGCCTGCTGTGTTCATCCAGCCCTGCACCTTATTGTCTCGGATTCTCTAGCATCTGCAGTTCCTACTATCTCTATATTAAAGCATAGCTGTGTCTGATTAAAAATGTTTTACCTCAAAGCATTCTCACATTGTTAGCCTAAAGTTGCATTAGTTTGAACCATAAAACAGCAATAAGCCACAAACCAATGATTTTACTTATAAGCTGATCCATGGGCTTCCTTCCTTAGAGAAACTGTTTTAAAACCAAATATAATCAAATAAAGTATCGTGTAATTCCTCACTTGCTTAATCAAGTCAAATTGATTTGATTGATTTATTGTCGTCACTTGTACCTAAGTACAATGAAAAGTTTTTTGTTTTTCGAGCAGTACAGGCAGATCATAGCAAACAAGGACATACAAATCATAGTGCACTTCGACAGAGTGAGGCACACAGGAAGTGCCCAAAGCAAGAACAACATTAAATTTGAAGTTAGAGAGGTCTATTTCGCTGTGTAATAAGGGCAGGGAAGAAGCTGTTCTTGAACCTGCTGGTGTGTGTGTGTTCAAGCTTCTATATCTTCTGCCTGAAGGAGGAGGTTGGAAGAGAGTATTACTGGGGTGAGAGAGGTCTTTGATAATGTTGGCAGCCTTTCCGTGGCAACGAGAATTATAAATGGAGTCCATGGCTGGGAGTTTGGCTTCCGTGATAGTCTGGGCTGTGCACACAACTTCGTGCAGTTTCTTATGGTCCTGGGCAGAGCAGTTGCCATACCAGGCCGTTATGCACCCGGATAGAATGCTTTCTGTGGTGTCTCTGTAAAAGTTGGTGAGGACTCTTATGGACATGCTGAATTTCCTAAGTCTCCTGAGGAAGAAGAGGTGTTGTTCTGCCTTCTTGACTATTGCATCAATGTGGGAAGTCCAGGGCAGATTGTTGATTACCATCACTCTTAGGAACTTGACGCTCTCGAACCTGTTCACCTCTGCTCTGTTGATGTCAATCGGGGTGTGTCCTCCTCCTTTCTCCCTGAAGTCAATGATCAATTATTTGTTTTTGCTGACATTTGAGAGAGAGAGATTGTTATCATTACACCATGACACCAAGCACTCTATCCCCTTCCTGTATTCTGAATCAACGGTGGTGTTGTCAGCAAACTTGTAGATGGCGTTTATATGGAGTTTGGCTACATTATTGTAAATTGAAAAACAACCAAATCCTGTAGTGCCACTACTGACAGAAGGGGATCATTACAGAGAAACAAAGTTGCATGGATGGTTTCTGTTAACATGGAAAATTTATAATTGGCAAAATTGACAAAACTGTGACAATAGGAAGTTTGATTTTACAGATGGAATATATGTGCAGATGGAGTGCTTTTAATCTCACGCTGTGGTAGATTCTGATATTTCTGATTATCCAGTTTGCCATCCTAGAAATTGTAATGAGGAACAAATTTAGTTACCTGTCTCCGGGATGAGTTTAATAAAAAATCTATTTACTTGCTTCTTTTTTGTCAACATGTATCTTAGGTCAATGCCATTGTATTGGACATTGGTGAGACCACAGTTTCAATACTTTGATGCATTTTCTTCCTTCATTAAATAGAGTCCCAAATTGTGAAGAGGTGGAATTGCTTTTTCATTCACCAAGCGTGCAGCACTGCTTTCTTCATGTTAGCAACTAGCCTAACTCAGTCATCCCATTGGTCCAAAGTGCTGCATTCTGTGTCTTAACAGTGAACAAGTCCTGTTTCTCTATTGTCCCCCACCGTTTCTCTATTGTCCCACTGTTTCTTGACTGATATTAGCTTCTATTTAGTCAGGTAAATCTTGATGTTAAAATTCTCACATTTATTTTGAAATTTCTCAAATGTCTCTCCCCTCTCTACCTCTGTAACCTCCTCGAGCCCCTGAGATATCTGCACTTTTGTAATACTGGTCTCTTAATCGATCGCTCATTAGAGTGTTATAGTTCCCCATCTGCTGCTGTTAATGTGCATTTGAACACAGAGTTCTTGGAATGTTGTTGTAGTATACTGGTAGTGTCCCTACCTCTGGACCGGAAGGCCAGTGTTCAGGTCTCATCTGCTCTAGAGATGTGTAGTAATATCTGAGCAAGTTGTTTAAAAAATATCTGCATCGAGTACTTATCACTCCCTTACTGATACATGTTTAGTGTACATTCATTTGTAATGGAGGCACCTCCATCCAAAGAATAGTGCCTCTTCGTTGTCGCACATTTGTTGCAATTTCACTGAGTTAAGCAGGATTCCTGGCTGACAGGTCACACTTATCTGCTCCTGCATGGAAAATCCATACTCACTCTAAACCAGAACCTTTACTTGAAATACCTACAGAGTGCCTGACAAAAATAAAGGGAAATTAGAACAAAAACTGAACAAATTATTTTTTGCCATGTGGAGGGTGTTAAACTTGACTTCAATTGGAGATGTTTGTTTTGAATGGAACTTTTGAAAGCATCTATGGCACATCCTGGTCTTGGTGTTGAGAGACGATTGTCAATGTGAGTTTCTTATTATGATATTTTATGGTTAATCTGGAAGCATGAATAATGTTTAATTGGAATTGGTCTTTAGCATGTATCATGGAGTTCACCTGACATTTCTAGCAATGTATTGCTGCATTGTGGCTAATATTATCTCTATCAAATAGTAACATGCTGATAATTGTATTGAATTTTCTCTACTTGTGCAGTTATGTTTTTCAGTCAAAAAGGGGATAAACATTTGTTGTTTTATTGAGGTTCTGTCTTTAGAGTATTGTGTTTAATCCAATGTGATTGAGCAGGACCCTGTATTTATATGCAATTCAATGCTGATAGGTGATGCTTTGTGTCAGCACCATTTGTCCATCATATAATTTGTTTGGCAATAAAAGAAAAACATCTTTATGACAAGAAGCATGACTCTACTTTAATGTCAATTAAATGACTGTTGCTGAGGATATTTGCCCATGGACCTATTGTCTCTTTTCTATTGGAAATAGAAAAGAAGTACGTGCAAAAGGCCAGTTAGTAACTTCATATAATTTCTTTTTGTAAGGCATTGTTCTCTGATATACAATTCTTGTTCTGCTGACACCGCTGTTATTTCTGAATCATTGAAATTTGTCCTTTTTAATGAAGTTTGATTTTTAAGAAAAAATCAAAATCCTTTCATTCTGTACCTGAAGTTTGAGCATATAATGCATGTTAACTCTTCAGTTAGTTTGTGATGGTCTCTCAGTGGTGCTACCTTTCAGGAAAGATGTTAGTCAAAGGTGCTGTCCACTTTATCAGATTGAACTAACAGATCTCATGGTCCTGTTCAAAACTTGAGTTAGTATTCTAGTCAAGATTTATTTCTCAACTACCATCACTGAAATAGATTACCTGGTTGTTCATTATCATCTTACTGTGCTCACATTGGTAGCTGCATTTCCCAACAACTCACCAGTGACTTCACTCCAAAAATGGCTCCTTTGGCTGTATAGTGCTTTGGAGAATCCTGACTTTATTAGGGTGTCACAGATGAACATGCTGCTTCTTTCTCTTATTTTATTCTTCAAAAGTTACTAAATTTATGACAGGCTTTGTATCATGTTCTTCATTTCAATTAGCAACCTTTGTTTGAACCTTGAACCAAAATTGTCTCCTTGTGTCCAATTATTAGTCTGAAAAATAAAGATTTACATTTGGAGTTGCATTTTCATGATTTATGTTGTCCACAGTCTGGTCAAAATGATATCTTTTCGAACATCGGTTCTAACATGTTTCCTAAATTTTATTTTTCTCTATCGGTACCTAATGTACCTAAGCCATTTCACCATTTAAAGCAAGTGATCTGGGAAAGCAATCAAATTGTCAGTCTGTAAACGGCAAGTAAACTACATTACTGATGTGGAAAGGAGTAAATTTATATGTTTTGTTTTTCTTTCTCTTGCAGCTTTGCACACCAATAAACTGACGATCATGGGGGATATGAAAACCCCAGATTTCGATGACCTGCTTGCTGCATTTGACATCCCAGACATGCAGGTCGACCCAAAAGCAGCAATTGAGTCTGTACACGATGAGAATGAAGGACACCTGAAACAGAGCATCCCCGTGGATGAGGATGCCCAGGTCCCCTCGGCCCCCGACGGCGTAGTGAGTGTGATTGTGAAAAATATCCGAACGCTTGACTCGTGTGAGGCTGTGGCTGCGACAACAGAAACCTCGACTCTAGACAAAGAAAACCATCATTCTTCAGGCAATGGCTTACACAATGGCTTCCTCAGTGTGACTAACTTGGATGGGTATTCTAAGGAGTCAGACGGCAAGTCAACTAGGTGTGAAGGCTCCCCAGGCACTGAAGCTAAACTAGATTTGTCACGAGCCGAGACCATCGATGGCCCTGGGGCAGGAATCAAAGACTCTGCATTTAACCAGTTCAGCCCCATTTCCAGTGCAGAAGAGTTCGAGGATGATGATAAAATAGAAGTTGATGATCCTCCGCACGTCAAAGAGGAGAGCCAGTCGGTTTTTCAAGCAAACACGCATCCGGGTCCCACTGCCGAGCGAGAAGGTGAGAAGCCGAGGAAGCCGGGAGTGGAGACCATGGTCAAGCAGGACGCGCCCGTCCCAGAAGCTGAAGAAAAGGGTAAGATATTGAAAAGCAGCAGAGAGTGTGAAAGCCCCGGTGTTAATTCAGGGATTCTTGAGACATTTAAAGTCCGAAATGTGGACGAGAAATTGTCTGACGAGGATGCTGAAAAGAGTTTTAAAAATTCTGCTGAGAAGCAGCTTGATAACAGAATCCTCGATGGCAAAAGTGGTGAGAAAACTGGAGTGAATGTTACTTGTCCTTCAAACCTTAGGGCTAAGTCCTCCTCCAAGCTTTCCTCGTGCATTGCGGCAATTGCTGCTTTGAATGCTAAAAAGGCTGCAGCAGATATCAATAAGGAACCTCAGTCTGTCTCAAGGGGGCCTTCTCCAGTTTTAAAAGAATCTCGAGAAAGCCCTAGAGTCACTGAAAAGTCTCCAGAGGGCCCTCAGAGCCCAATGGAAGTGGTGAAGAAAGTTGCCATCAAACAGCCCGATAGCCCCCGGAGTGTGTCAAGTGAATGTAGCATGAAAGGGTCCCCTTCCTCTCCTGCAAGCTCACCACCCGCAATCCCCAAGGTCCGCATCAAAACCATCAAAACGTCATCTGGTGAAATTACCAGAACGGTGACCAGAATCATGCCAGATGTTGAGCAAGAGCTTGGTAGAAGAGGACCAGAACAGGCAAACTCCTTGGTTGTCTCATCACTTTTGTCGTCTCCACCTACTGAGTCTGCTGTATCCTCGCCTCCTACGACACCAATGCAATCGGCTCTTGTTACAGCTTCTAATTCAGTAATGTCTCCTGACGTTGCTCAGAAACAGGTTACAATTAAACCTGTTGCCACTGCTTTCCTTCCAGTGTCTGCTGTGAAGACGGCAGGATCGCAGGTGATCAACCTGAAGTTTGCGAATAACACTACAGTCAAAGCCACCGTCATTTCTGCTGCCTCAGTTCAGAGTGCCAGCAGTGCCATCCTGAAAGCTGCTAATGCAATGCAGCAGCAAACAGTGGTGGTCCCGGCATCCAGCCTCGCAAATGCCAAACTTGTGCCAAAGACTGTCCACCTCGCTAATCTTAACCTTTTGCCTCAAACTGCCCAAGCGACTTCTGAACTTCGTCAGGTGCTTTCCAAAACGCAGCAGCCCATAAAACAGGCTCTAATCACTGCTGCTTCCACCCAGCCAACTAAAAAAGTATCTCGAGTTCATGTGGTGGCCTATTCCCAGAATGCTGTGGTTGAGACATTTAATAAGGTGCTGAGCAGTGTAAATCCAGTCCCTATCTACACGCCTAACCTCAATCCTCCAACAAATGCTAATATTAGTATACCACTTCGTGGATACAAATGCTTAGAATGTGGTGACTCATTTGCTTTGGAGAAGAGTTTGGCACAGCATTATGACCGGAGAAGTGTGCGGATTGAAGTCACGTGTAACCACTGTGCAAAGAACTTGGTCTTTTTCAACAAGTGCAGTCTTCTTTCTCATGCTCGTGGGCACAAGGACAAGGGTGTGGTTATGCAATGCTCTCATCTGATTATGAAACCCATTCCTGCGGACCAGATGATCATTCCCAGTTCCAGTAACAGTGTATCTTCCACTACTATCTCTGCACCGGTCTTGACGTCTGCAGGCAGCACTGCCGGTGCCGTGGCGAAAACTGTTGCAAGCATACCCAGTGCGGTGATCTCTGCGCCTGCCAATGCTCCCATTCTCCCAGCAATGCCCCTGGACGAGGATCCATCAAAGCTTTCCCGATATGGCATGAAGTGTTTGGAGTGCAGTGAGACATTTCTGGATGAGATTTTGCTTGCCACGCATTTCCAACATGCTGCAGAAGCAGGCGGACAGGTAAAGTTGTGACAAATGAGTCGGTAAATGTTCCATAGCTCCCTATGTTCTGTTATCCTCGTGGTAATGGGCTGTCTGGTTACATGAATATCTCTGGGCAAAGAACAACATTCTTACTGAAAACAGCCTACAGTGGGCGACAACAATAACTCGCATTTTTGTAATACTTCTTAATGTATTAGAAATGTCCCAGGCTACTTCACAGGAGCACAAGCAGACAAAAAATTGACACCAAAGCAGGACAGGACAGTAACCGAAAATCTGGGTTAAAGAGAAAGGTTTTAAGGAACATCTTTAAACGTGATGAGAGAGAGAGGTGAAGAAACTGAGGGAAAGAATTCTGGAGCTTGTGGCTTAAACAGATGAATATATGGCTGCCAGTGGCAGAGTGAAAGAAGTTTAGTGCAGACGTGACCAGAGTTGGAGTAACTGAGTGTTACTGGAGCAGTGTGGGGCGAGAGGAGATTGCATCAGTAGGTTGGGGCAAGGCATGGAGGGATTTGCAAATAATAAAGGAGAATTTTCATGTTAAGGTGACAGTGGACCAGAAGTCAATGTATTTCAGCAAGCGCATGGATAATAAACAAATGAACTTAGTGCTAGTCAGAATGCAGATAGTGAACAGCAGAGTTTATGAATGTGGAATTTGGGAGGCTGGTCAAAAATACATTGCTCTTTTCAAGTCTGGAGATAATAAGAGTAGTAGAAACCTGAGGAGTAATACCTTAGTGAGGAATCATGAAATCCTGCAAAGAATTATAAATAGAAATTCATGTAGTCACAAGGACTCCAAATTGTTTTGTATTCGGGGTTGGCATGATGTGTTTCAGCACTATTTTAATGTAATTATATTTGTTGGATTTAATCCTTGATGTTTGTTGTGGCACAGTATGTCCCATTTACAGTGATACAAAATACTTTGAGGTGACAAAGACTTTGGACAGAAGATTCTAGAATACTCTTTCTGTTGTGTTTCCACTTCTGTAGGTGGGTTCAAACTCGGGTTTATTGTCTGCATTGCTTAGTGATTCATACCAGCAAAAATTAAGCAACAATTCTACTTCTGCATGTTTCTTACTACCTCATGCATTTGTATGATTTGGATTCAATGACCCTGGAGGTTTGCAAAGGGATGTTCTTAGAGTTGTTGCTCCATTAGTGAATAAATCCTCAATCAGAACACTAAGATCTGTTGCCAACTGCAACAGGTGCATATATGAATGAGCTGCCAGAGGAAGTGGTGGAGGCTGGTACAATTACAACATTTAAGAGGCATCTGGATGCGGAGATGAATAGGAAGGGTTTAATGGGATATGAGCCAAATGCTGGCAAATGGGACTAGATTTATATAGGATATCTGGTTGGCATGGACAAGTTGGACCAAAGGTTCTGTTTCCGTGCTGTATATCTCTATGACTTTAGGTATGAGATATATGTGCAGTAATGAAAACAGATGGGTAGCTATTGACTTTGTGAAATAGTGTAAAATAGAAGATAGTGAGTTGGCAATCTGTTTACTTTTCTCCTGGTTTTTATTTCTATTGGCTCAAGGGAATAATTTAAAATAAATAGACCTACTAAAAAGAATTACGAGAAAACCTGTGGATTTTTCATTCTGTTGATTTCTGTTCCTTTTGAGTGCAGATATTTTGGTTTATTGGCATCAGTACTTAATGGCCTGAGAGGAATGACTAATAGTATTATTGAAGTAAATAAATCCTACAGGCAGAGATATGCTGGAGAATCTGAGATAACAAGGTGTAGAACTGGATGAACACAGCAGGCCAAGCAGCATCATAGGAGCAGGAAAGCTGACGTTTCGGGCCTAGACCCTTCTTCAGAAATCTTACAGGCAGCCAACTGAGTTCTCAGTTTCCAGGTCTTCCAACTATTCAATAACCTGCAATTGTGTAATCCTAGTATCTTTAAAAGAAAGAATGTACCAAGGCACCCCATGGACAGTCATGAGGAGAACAGTACTGAACCAAAAAGAAAGAGGTATAGAATAGTAATAAGAAACTTGGTCTTGAATGGTATGTAGTCCTCAGCAAGCATCATTGAAATCACATTACCTTGTGATTTTTGCCATTGCACCTTGTGGATTGAAACCTTACTAAGTTCAAATTGACTGCAATTCCACAAGACCATAAGATATAAGGGCATAATTAGGCCATTCAGGCTATCAAATCTGCTCCACCATTCATATTCTTCTCAATCCTATTCTCTTGCCTTCTCCCTGTAACACTTGATCCTTTTACCAATCAGAACCTATCTATCTCTGTCTTAAACATGCTCAATGACTTGGTTGTCACAGCCTTCTGCGGTAATGAGTTCCACAGATTAACCATGATCCGGCTGAAGAAATTCTTCCTCCATCTCAGCAATGCCCTCAGGTCCTAGTCTCTCCTACATCTCCACGTCCACTCTTTACAGACCTCTCAGCATTCTGTAATTTTCAATCAGATTCACCCACTTCTTCAAATCTCCATCGGGTACGGACACAGAATCCTCAACTGTTCCTTATATGACAAGCCCTTCATCCCCGGGATTATTCTTGTAAACCTTCTCTGGTCCCCCTCTAATGTTAACACATCCTTTCTTAGACATAGAGCACAAAACTGCTCACAGTACTCCAATTGTAGTCTGACCAGAGCCTCCTACAACCTCAGTAGTACATCTCTGCTTCTGCATTCTCGCCTTCTCAAAATTAATGCTATCATTATGTTTCCCTTCCTAACTGCCAACTGAATCTGCTTGTTACCTTAAGAGAATCCTAAACCAGGACTCTAAGTCCCTTTGTCTTTCAGATTTCTGAAGCCTTTCCCCATATTGACCCCTTTATTCTTCCGACAAAAGTGCATAACCTCACATGCGCACAGGAACGATCACTGGACTTGAAACATTAACTCTGAATTTTTTCCACAGATGCTGCCAGACGTACTGAGCTTTTCCAGCAATTTTTGTTTTTGTTCTGATTTCCAGTATTCGTAGTTCTTTTGGTTTTTATTGCCTAACCTCACACTTTCCCACATTGTATTCTACCTGCCATTTCTTTGCCCACTTTCCCAGCCTGTCCAAGTCCTTCTGCAGCCTCCCACTTCTCAGTAATAACTATCACTCCACCTATCTTTGTGTCATCTGCAAACTGAACAACAATGCTCTCAGTCCCTTTATCCTGATAGTTAATGTACAACGTGAATAGTTGTGGTCCCAACACTGAAGTCCCTGCAGAAGTCCACTAGTCACCAGCTGCCATCCAGAAAAAGACCCTTTTATCCCAACTCTCTGCCTTCTGCTGCTCAGTTAATCCTCTTTCCATGCTGGGGCCTTGCCCCTAATACCATGAGCTGTTATCTTATTTAGCAGCCTCCTGTGCAGCACCTTGTCAAAGGCCTTTTGGAAATCCAAATAGTTCACATCCACTGGCTCTCCTTTGTCTAACTTGCTTGTTAGGTCCTCAAAGAATTCTATTAGATTTGTCAGGCATGATCTCCCCTTGATGAAGCTGTACTGACTCAGCCCTATTTTGCCATGCAGTTCCTAGTACTCTGCAATTTCATCGTTAATAATGCCCTCTAAAATCTTACCAATGATCGAGGCAAGGCTAACTGGCCTATTCACTACAGCACATTTAAATAATCCCTGTGCTCTGGCTATCTTTTTCAAGGAAAGGGCTGTACACATGCTCATACTTTCTCTTTTGGTTGAAGACCTAGGCTTTAAGAACTTCCTTAGGAGAAATGGTTGGAGAAAAAGAGACGCTGAGGAAGGGATTGCTGACAAATGAATGAATGGGTGAAGGCTTTGTCACTGAGAAAAGGAATGTTGTGTTTGGGGCAGAAAGCCATTCAGTACTGGGAAAAATAGGTTGTTGTAAGTCCATAAAACAAATTAACCACAAGGATGGGGACAGAAGCTATTAATATGATAGTAAAATACTGTGGACATGGGAAATTTGAAATGAAGAGGGAAAATCTGGCAACATTTTTGGAGAAAGAAGGAGTTTTTAATCAGATTTGGCAGCATGTTCCATGAAAAGTTATTGACTTGGAACATTGGGCTGGATTTTTGCTGAGTCATGGAGGCTCTGCAGATCTTTAAACGTGGTTAAGAGAACTCGATTCCTGGATTCGTGTGCCCTTAATTTTCGCTTACACAGGAAGATAGCGTGGACAGTGAACCTGAACTCTGCATTGCTGAACTGGTCAGCTCGAGTGCATGGGAGGAGACATCACCGATCTCTCCACAATGTCCAGGGAGTTGGGCCAGCTTTTCAAGGTCTCATGGCTTATAGTTCCTTAGAGAAGTCATGAACCATCACGCAGATGTGGGGATATGTTTGAAAGATAACTTCAAAAGACTTATTCTGCATGCAAACTCATGCATCTCCCCACCCTGCCCTCAATGTCTCCTCATACCCTCCATGCCAACCCATTCTGCAGCATGCACCCCCCCAATGTCACCTTATAGCACAATGCATGCATGACCGAGAGCCCAGACTTACTCTAGTTTGATAAAATGTGTGCACAGAAGGGGAAAATATGGCTTGAATGACAGTGCTTTTCCTTCAATTTATTTTGTCAATGGCTCAATTTTTATTATGTACAATAAAATGTTGTCAACTATTAATAGTTTCTGTCAATGATACTGTAAAGGTTTGGTTAACTGACACATTTATAGGATTGCAGTAATGGCGGGTTTTGAAGAAGCTTTGGCTGCTTCTGTAACCTTTCTACACATGCCTTTGTTACTACAGAGTTTTGTCCTGTCCAGAGTGTATACTAAATGAATGAGCATGGAAGTGCTGTGAGTTGTTGGTGTACAGGGTATGAGGGGCCATTGAGGGTAGGTGGGGGCATGGCTTGGAACAAGTTTGCATGAATTGGGAACATATTGTTGGGCATGTGAAGGGTGAGCTCTATTCAGCCTAATGTTGAACAAAATGTTTCCTTGAAAAGCTGCAAATAGTTAACTATTGGGCAAGTAAAATCAAGCATTGG